TCTTGTGAGAGCAGGACTAAAAAAAAAAAACATCCCACATAGTCCTCTTAAGTGCTACAGACTGATTCAAACAGTTCACTCATTTTTTTTGGAAGCATTTATCAAAAGAACCAGTCTATTCATTTCTGGAAACAAGAAAGCATTTGAACAACATTGTTGTTAAGAGGCAAAGCCTACTATAAATTAATTTTAAAATGAATACATACCTTGTGTTTTGAATCCAAATGGAGGTAAATAGTTTGTAACTTTTGAAAGCCGCTTAAAGTTCCGGTCCAGAAACATGGAAGCTGGCTTACTAAACCTGCAAAAGCATGATAAACATGATATAATGAATACTACCAAGGACAACTAACATTCAGATTAATATAACTATATTTTTAATCTAAATTATGTTTAAAATTATATTTTTCATTCAGCAAATTTTGTACAGTACCAAAAACGTCTCCATAGCAACATGTCAATTCCATATCAACAGGGCTAATAACATATAGCCAAATAACACATTCACTTTCCGAACATCAGGAGGCGGGGAGTCAAAGGGGGCTTTTGTCTGCGAGAGGTCTCTGCTTTGACCTAAGTTTAAAACAGTGTGGCTGAACCAGCACCAATCAATCACAAACCCAGGCCTCCGTTCACCCCTTCTCAAGAGGAGTCAGGGGATACCCTACCCGGAGGCCATTTCCCAGCACACTCCTCTCTTAAGGCTAGATGTGCAAGCGCAACGATGAATGTCTGTGCCTCTGACCCGCAGATCCTCGCTGTCATTTCTTATCTACTCCGCCTGCTACCAAAGTGGAACACTGAGCCGCTCAAAGGTGTCAGTAGGCAGTGTGAACTTTCAGAAGCCATCAAACAAAGACATTTTTCAAAAACTAGATCCCTTTCAGGGGTCATTTAATGACTTAATTTAATAAGAACCGAGAAAGTCTCAGACAGCAGATGCATTTTCCACAAACATGCCTCTTTTCTGCTTCTGTAAGTGTGGCCACACGATGGATGTCTGTTTTTATGACCTTCCCAACTCAACAGGCTCATTATTCATTTGCAAACATAAGGATATTGGATCATTTTTTTCTCAGGTCTTTTACGATTAAGTTAGAAAATTGCAGTAGATTGGTTTGGGGTGGGAGGATGACTAACAAGGAGAGCTTGTCGAGAGGTACAAAGGGTTTGAAAAAAATTAGAGCCCCTTAAGAAAACTTAGACTAATCATGGGTCAGTAAAGAGAACACATGGGTCATTTAAAATACAGGTCCTGGGGGGAAAAAAGCTGCAGAACCCCTTTCCCAACAATCCTTTCCAAAGTACAGAGTGGCACAAGTTTTCAGCCTTTTTAGTTATAGAGGACTCCAGTTGCTTTTAAACCACCTAACTCTACAGCAACGTCCAATATGGGGAAAGTGAGGACAAAGATTTCGTCAATTGAAGAAAATGTCAAAGAGCAGCGCCAGGAAATGAGATGAGGAAATGAACGGGATCGCTATTGGCAACTGTTTAACATACTCTGATAAAAGTGTGTCTATTTCATGCACTAATCGCTTAAGGCCAGGGGATGTCCGACAATGGCAAGAAAAAAAATAAATAAATAAAAATGTCACATCGGATTCTCTCCTTATATCACCTGATAAAAGCAGACAAAGCAAGACCTTGCCAAAACAAACTGTGATTAATTAACTTGTGGCTTGTGGGGTGCATACTAACTCACATTATAAATAACTGGGTGAGAGCTTCAGGCCTAAAGACAGACAGGCGTCTGCTTGTCATAAAGGGGTCCTGAACAGGAGGCCTGTGCACATTGTGCTCATTTCCTCATGGCTATCTCTCACTGGGGGCTGTATTTTCATAACCGCCCGCTCAAGTTCAACCAAGACATTTGATTTAAGAGTCCAATACAAACAGTTTTGGGAAAGGAGTGGAGGTGTTGAAAATAAAGTGGATTCCAGGGGTGAACTAACAGAGGGTGGGATCGCATGGCTTCAGGTGGTTTCCTACACATGCAGGGTTCCCCTAATAAAATGTAACTCCTAAAGGAAGAGACAAGTGATTGCCCAAATGACCACATAATGAACATGCCAAGTGGGCATTAACTAATAGGACAATCTCTACTTTATGCAACAAATGATTATTGAGGTTGACAAGGTTTTGCCAGTTTTGTGGAGGTGCACTTAAAAACGTAAAAACATTAAAATACTAATTATATGTAGTTTTGCACATTAAACTTTCAAATCCATATCTGACTATTCAACAGAATTATTTACTATGAAAATGCATGGATAAAAATAAAATTATACTATGTGACATTGTTAAATTTGAGTCTTAAAGGGATACTCCACCCCAAAATGAAAATTTTGTCATTAATCACTTACCCCCATGTCATTCCAAACCCCTAAAAGCTTCGTTCATCTTCGGAACACAATTTAAGATATTTGGGATGAAAACCGGGAGGCTTGTGACTGTCCGATTGACTGGCAAGTAAATTACACTGTCAAGGTCCAGAAAAGTATGAAAGACATCGTCAGAATAGTCCATCTGCCATCAGTGGTTCAACCGTAACATTATGAAGTGACGAGAATATTTTTTGTACGCGAAGAAAACTAAAATAACGACTCCTCTGTGTCTCTCCGCATCACCGTAGCACCATTTTGGTGAATATCCGCTGAACACAAGCAGCGTACACTATTCTGTGTCAGCCGCACTGCACGGATGCGCTGTTTTCGTTCAAATCAAAGCGTAAATACATGTAGAAAACGTATCCTTGTGTCACGGCTGACACAGAAGAGTGTACGCTGCTTGCGTTCAGCGGATATTCTCTAAAATGGTGCTACGGTGATGCGGAGAGACAGAGGAGACGAATTGTTGAATAAAGTCATTATTTTTGTTTTCTTCGCGTACAAAAAGTATTCTCGTCGCTTCATAACTGATTAATGACAAAATTTTCATTTTGGGGTGGAGTATCCCTTTAAAGTTCTTAATCCAAACATGACAACACAATTCTGTCCTTATAGATGCAAATGAAAAATTTCCAATTACTAAACTAATATGACTATTCAATGGAAACACTTTACAATAAAATTCAATTAGTTTACATTAGTTAATAAATTAGGTATCAAGCACTAGTGATTTTTTACAGCATTTATTAATCTCATGTTAATTTCGACATATACTTGCAAGATTTTATAAAAAAAATATTAATTAACATTGTATTATTGTTATTGTATATATATATATATATTGTATTAATGAACACGGCTTAAAAAACAACAGTACATTTTAATTATAATTATTAATGAACTAATTGTTGCACATTGAAACTAATGTAAACAAACTGAAACCAATTACAAAGTGTTACTGACTGCAATTTTCAAATTCCTCTAACATGTTCAATACCTATCTCTGTTTTATACATTCAAGAATTACATAAAACGTTTCAACTGTTATTTAGTTCATGATTCTGGAAATATCTAAACTGAATCAATGTATCCTAAACATCATTAAAAATAATTTATCACACAATACAAATGCTCAAATATTTGTGTTGTAATGATGTGGCAGAAGTGCCTTTTGACCCCAAAAGACAAACAAAGACCCCGAGAACCTTGATCCATCACACGTGTTAATTAGAGGCACATTGTAGACACTGTTAACACACATGCCATTAATTGGGGACCTGTTAAAAAGCTTCAGGCACCAATTCAGTCATTGCTCTGCTTTATGCGTCCTTCTGATGCTTGTGCAGATTCTAGAGAGATAAGGACACACCAAAACTACATCTTCTGCAACGTGAACTTGTCATTCTTGTTGTCAAAATGTCTTTATTCTCTCTTCTTTAAAAAGTTATTTCATGAAAATAATATTTTCGTTTAGTCAGTTTTTGTTTAAACCAATCCAGGGCAACCATCTGACTTGGACTAAATATTGCTGTTGCTATTGTGTGATAGTTGCTGTTTTGTGATAGCTGCTCAAATCCTTTCCAAAATAATCTTGCTTGATTGGTGGAAAAGCTATTTCTAAACAATCTTATGGCGATGAGAGAAATATCCATGAACAAACCAAACCGTGATGCTTAATGTTTATCATCGCCGGGCATGCTGTAGTGGAAAAATTACTTATGCTAACAATAGCCAGCCGGAGAATTATCCTAAAGATGAGGGAACAATGTACGGATGCCAACAAATACAGAAAGTTCCATCAAAAGCCTGTGACATCACAGAGGGTCGCAGAGTGTTGTGTGACATCACTGAGGGTCACAGAGCACTCTGAGGATTCAGTCAAACTGAAGAAGTTGACTCATTCGGTCCTCCACAGTGGCTGCTTTACAGGGCTTTCTCCTCTCAGCCGCAAAGACAGAATCACTGTCCACTTCCAAAAAGAGTTACAACAGGCGCATTGTGGAGCTGGCAAGCATGCGGAAGTGGTTGTTTGTTGTGGTAGGTCACAAATTAACAAGGACTTAAAGGATCAGAGGAGCAGCTTACTGTTCAGTCACAGATATTATGAGACTGGCCTACAGGGCTCCGTAGCTGAGAAGTGACATAGTGTCTCTTGAATGGTGACGGGCGAAACCAGGGAGAGTGGAGCATATGAGGAACTTGATAAATCAGAGCTAAAGCAGTAAATCTTTAACAAAGCGGTCGTCAGTTCACAGAGTTTGTACTTCATTCTGTAGGTGACAGAAGAGCTCAATATCGCAAAGCCTTGCAGAACAAAAGCAGGTTTAAAAAACCTGAACAGATGAAAATAAAAAAGCCACAAGATTCAGTCAAAGCCTCTTTGTATTTTTCCAACCAAACTTCCATCCCATCTGCCATCTTCAAATATCCTTCCTTTGAATACCTTTTTACAACATCTTGCAATACACAAATGAATGTTGAACTGCAACAGACCTCAACACAAGTATCAGGACTCAACAATAAGAATGTTTAGACATTTTTGTGTTAGAAAAAATTCTCTTTAAGTTTATCTAATAATTTCAACATCTTGTATCTTAGAAAAAACAAATTGCTCCGGTTTGCAAGGCAGTGGGTCTTATTGTTGAACCCTGTGTATTACATTCATAAAGAAATCTGTTCATACTTTGGATAGATAGCACTGATTTTGGCAGCTGCATAACCAGGTTTACAGGCTCCTTCACTGAGGTTTCCGTACTTGTACACCAACTCCGGTGGCCTGTAGACAGTTAGAGAGGAGAAGAAAGAGAAGGCATTCATTTTAATTAGACAGGATTGTAAATGTTAAACCTGACAGGAATATCACACAGAATAACTATGCTAAAGGGTAATGTTTAATCTGAGGTATATAGTTTTTATCTAGCCTGGCATATGATGGATGACATCTAGAGCAGGATGTGATGGATTACTTTTGAAAAACTCAGTTTATCCCTGATGTGTTAAATAAATGAAATAGTCAAACAATAGGAACGCAACTCATTTTGCTGGCTGCACAAACAGTGAGTGTGTTTATTTCATACTTTTGTTCTGAAAGAATGTTCCAAGCTCAAAACACACTCTAAAGATAGCATTTGTGACATGATGTTAACACAGCACAGAAAATTTTTTTTGACTTGCCCATCAGTTTTTTTTTTTTTATAGGAAAAAGGCAAAAACTTGTTACACACTTACAATGGAACTAACAGGGCCAGAGTTCTGGGCTGTTTAAAAGCAGAAATGTGAAGTACTTAGACGAGTTACTCCATAAAAACAGTTTATTATTCTATGAAGCTATGAAGTTGCCTACTTTTCTAGATGAATAAACATCTGGTTATGCGTGACAGAAGTTTGTTCCATGCAAACAATGCTTAGAGAGAGCTATGCCATATAAACAGTGTAATGTTTAGAATATTAATTTTTTTTTAAGGTTTTAAAGTTTCTTGCCTCCATTATAGGCACCTTACTGTAATCATTTAGTTTTAACTTTTTTACGGATCATGTAACATTAAGACTGGGGTAATGACTGCTAAAGATTCAGTTTTGCCATCACAGGAATAAAATACATTTTAAAATATATTAAAATAAAAGGAGTTATTTTAACTTGTAATATTTTTCACAATATTACTGTATTTTGATCAAATAAAACCTCAGATGCAACCTCAGTGATCGTAAGTGACTTATTTCAAAAACATTTTAAAACCCCCAAACTTTTGAACGGTAGTGCATAATTTATCAAAAAGTTGTAACAATAATGACATATTGAGAATTCCTCTAAATTGATGGGGACAGCTGACATTCTCCTACCACCTGAACTGAGCAGTGTCATTAATAACCTGCAGCAGTTCAAATAAACAGGTGAGGAGGACACAGGTCATGTCTGAGAGGCCAGTGGGCAGAGTGCGAGAGAGAGAGAGAGAGAGTGCGAGAGAGAGAGAGAATAAAATTAAGACTATCAGAGACTGGAGGTGGGTGAGAATAGACACATGCTGGCTGGACCACCTTGTTAAATGGCAACTAAAGAAGCAACTGTGGAGAGTCTCAATATTGGATTAAAATCACTATCAGAAAACTGTATGAGCTCTTCTGAAGTGACAGTAGCACATTAAAAAAAAAACTATGATCTCTGAGATTACATTGTTGATTAGAAAGCCGAAGCCCCAGGTTTCAACACCAAATCACATTGTCCTACACTAAGTACCTTTTCAACGGTTTAAATAAAAGCCACAAGACACTTATTTGCTGAAGCCTTCATTTTGATGAAGTGGTTGGCCCAAAGGGACAATGTCGTATTTTGTTGTCGTGACAGCTCTGAATCTTTAAGCAGCAGAGAGGATGGTGGATTGAGGCCAGCTGAATGATGAAGTGCACCACACAGACAGTTTTTGCTCACAGCGTCAATGAAATCTAAACCTGTCGAAGGCTTAGCTTATTGTATGTGTGCATGGTGTGGACAGACATGTCTTCTCTCACTGAAAAATTAGGGTGAGGTGAGAGTCTGAGAGTTTGGCTGCTTTAAAGATGAAATGTAAACATATACCTACCACACACAGACCTATAATACATCACACCTTGTGCCAAAAAGCCAAAAGCCTTTATTGCTTTTAAGACTTAGTACCCTAGATTTTCATTTTATTTATATTTTATTATTTTTACAACAACTTGTTCTTACAACACTACCATTCAAAAATGTAAGCTGTTTTTTTTTAAAGAAATTAATACTTTTATTCAGTAAAGTCACATTAAATTGATTAAAAGTGACAGTAAACAAATTTGAAAAAAGAGATAAAGTGTCACAGATTCCACTAAAATATTAAGCAACACAACGGTTTTCAACTTTGATAAACTTTTCTTCAGCAGGAAATCAGCATTTCTGTAGGATCATGTGACACTGACGACTAGAGTAATGTCTGCTGAAAATTCAGCAATGTGAAAAAAAACAAAACATACCAACCTCTACTTTTAAATGGTAGTGTATATAACTTTTGTTGTATACAATTTATTCTGGAACAGCAATAACATTTGTATTTTTAGAAATCAATTTCTTGCACTTGAAGACAAATGAACTAAACTAGAGAAACCATAAAGGTAATGTGGTGAAAAATAAATGGTTAATCATAAAATCCTAAATATATTTCTAATAATATACATTTTATTGTAAAAAAAAAAAATAATAATAATAATAAAATCATTCAAATGAATTTAAAAGACAGTTTGCTTTTGATCACTGTAATAACTTTTGATTTTAACTTTTTGATTTCAAGTCATTTTTCTCTCTATTGGTGAAATGTATAAGGAAGGAATTGTATACTACAGAATACTTACAGCTTTGTGTCCAGATTCAGCAAGAACCCTTGCTTATCAAACACTGTGAAGAAAAATGACAATGAGCATTAATTCAGAACATCATCAGTCAAACAAAAAGAAAATGTAGATCGTCTCTTGTTATGCCTTCATCCTGCCAAAATGCATGTCTAGTGCATTTTGAGACAACTAAAGATGTTAATGTTAACATTCATACAGATCTCATAGTTATCATCTAAAGGATTTTAGTTTATGTAGAAGCAGCAGCAATATTAGATTAAACCAGCCAAACATTCCACGTTCAGCTGGGAAACTGTGTTAAAAAGCAGCTGTCCACCTATGCAGGCTTCATTAGACCATAGGTGTCTATGAGGTGTCAATGAAGCGAAGCCTTTTAATAAATGAGAGAGAGAGAGAGAGAGAGAGAGAGAGAGAGAGAAATAAAAGTGTGAGTGGTGGAAAAAAGGGAAAAAGTACTAAACCAAAACAGACTGCTATGCATAAGTTCTTAATTTCTTCAACAGTAATAGGTTTGTTTTTGTTTTTTTTGCATGCTTGTGGTGATAGCCAGAGCAATGCAGCTAGAAACAAACAGACATTTAACAAAAGACCAACAATTTACCAGGCAGACTGAAATGGCTCAGTAAAAAGATTGATGAACAGGTAAATGTCAATCAAAACATATGACATTAATTCAGCTGCTACATTCTCATTAGCATCAGTGAGGACAGCACTGCATATCATATGACACAAAGGCATGGAAAGGGAGAATTTGAGAACTCCACTGATGCTCAAGTCTCCAGACAGATGCTGCAGAATGGAGAGGAGGAGGAACTGGTTAGAAAGTGACCACTGCTGAAACCAAAAGGAACATTAAGCAGATGCTATTATTCACAGCAACTTGCAGTTGGCCATTCGCTACAACAGACCCTCCAAGTATGTCTTAACTGTCTTGCTGAGGGGCTCTGCAGCAGTAGAGAAGTGTAATCTCAGTAACTCATCACCAGCAAGCAAACGCCTAGATACCTGGGAGGCCAACCCTTTCAGATGGTGCCCCAAGTCTTTGTTTACAACTTCACAGGGATGTAAAGTGGAATTGCAGGGAAAGAAAAAAAAAAAAGAAAGAAAGAAAGAAAAAAACAACAACAGGCCTCATTCATTAAACACAAGCAGAATTATTTTTTTTCTCAGCACAAATAATTTGTAAAACTGTTCTGAAGTTTTCAGATTCATGAAAGTGTTCGTATTTTCAAAATGTTAGCTGGTATTAGATTACTAGTCAGTTATAAGCACCACTAGTATCCGCACGTTTAACTATCAAATCTGAGGTTTACGATACATTACGATACAATCAGGAGGACAGATATCGGAAAGGTCCATTTACTCATTTATTTACTAAAGTTTCATGAATGAGGCCCAATGTCTCTTTGAGGTCTGGTAGGTCTAATTTGGTTTAGCAGTGTGACACTGACAGCCTGCAATTCACTGTGATTTACAGTATATGTTCTGCAAGTCTTTGTAAAATGAAGGGTGAAAACTAATTTATATTACACATTTATAACAGCACATTCTGCCCTAGGCATAAAGACACTCATTCTGAGTTATGAAGGCTAAGATGTGGTTACTGCTATTGGATGTGTCTCAATGACTGTTTATACTTATTAAAAATTTATTAAAAAATTATAATCAATAAAAAATAAAATATATATTTTTTTTTCATAGGAATATCAGGCAATTTGCATATATACCTGCTAATCATCGTTATATTTTAATGGATTTACTTAAAATAAAAAATCATGTTAACTAAGTAGTTTTTCTAAAATGCTTTTATAGAACTGTCTGTTAAACCCTGTCATGCAATCACAATTTTCTTTTAAAAACAATAAAATTGAAATGATCTGTGATGTCATATAAAAACATTTCTTTGAAAAATTACCACATTTTTAAATAGGTTTCTCTTGGAGACTTTATCAACATTTCATTGTTTACACTTACACTGGGCTCATTAAGATCAAATTTAACTCCGTTATGGAAAAAAAAGATTTTGGTAAAAAGCACAAGAATACTCATTGTAAATAAATGGAATTCACTGTCTATGGTGGTTATGGCCCCTGTGCTTTGGGCCTGAAAATGTGATTTCTTTCAAGTTCAGTACACATGGCTGTCAGTCGATTAAAAATTTTAATCTAATTACATGTGGAGATTAATTATTCACATTTTTGCTAATTAAAATTGGCTGTGAAAATACCCCCGAAAGATAATTTAAAGCCATTACTTATTTAAATTAGAAAAGCATCAAGTAGATACTAAAAAAATTAGCAACATAAAATTTATTACATAAATGTTTAGGCTACAACGGCCTAACAAACTATGGAGCATAAAAGAAGATAATTTGAGAAACATCTCAGTATTTTTTGTTCATACAATGAAAGTAATTGTCAACAAAATCAGCTTGGTTACAAACAGTCTTCAAAATACTTTCTTTTATGTTCCACGAAAGAAAGTAAGTGTTACAGGTTTGAAACGACATGAGGGTGAGTAAATGACAGATTTTTTTTTTTTTTGGTTAACTATCCATTTTTTAATGTAATGATACTTACAAGAAACTAAAACTGCCAGAAGGTGGTGATACATATCTTTGAGTAAAGCATCGAGTCATTCCTTCAATAGCGGATTCATTCAGGAATTAAGTAAACTTTGGCCCTGCCCCAAAACGCACCCTAAACCCTTGCGGTCTTCCTCGGAGTCCATACTTCAGTGACGTAATGCCGCTTTGACTGTCGGGTAGAAGTCTGCCGCAGAGCTCGCCTCAGTGCGGGCTCAGCAGAAGTGCGCATCAAGGGTGCATAGTGGCTGCAAAGGGAGCGCTCGCGAGCACCCTTCTGAAAGCTAAAATCACCAATGGGACACCCTGCGGTCTCGTGGACTTAACGGACATGCGTATGCGACGGCCTTTATAGGTCCGCAAGATCACAAGTGCACATGAAGTGTGCCATTTGGGACAGGGCCTTTATGAATGTGCCACTGAATCACTGGTTCACCAGATTCGTTCAAAAAGCAGATTCACCACTGAGTTGCTCAGAGACGCACAATTCTGCTGTGACTTTATAGGTTATATTATTGTTGGAATAATTGAGCAAAAACAGAAAATATTGCAAATATTTGCACTCGTGCTATTTGGGACAAAACTTGTGTGGTATTGCTCTCACTGCTCGTGTGATATCATTGTGTGTGTGTGTGTGTGTGTGTGTATAAAACAAAACACTACAGTTATTGTGCCAGTCGTTATTTAGAAACTTGTCAGGCATTGAGCGGGCCACCATGCAGGTATAGGTGTCTATCCTGGCCAGTCTGAGCTTTGCTGTTATTGAGCACCACCTGTTATTATCTTGATATTTGCCACACTTTCAGTGTGAAAAGACTTTAATTGGTTTGTTTTTTGTTCGTTCTCATATTGCGTTTGGTGTGAAAGGGTCTTTCGTGTGTAATGTATTAGAGGACATTATCTCAGGACTACCAGGCCTGCTGGGGTTCTCATGTTGACCAGAGTGCACTCTTTGCAGCGAGGCTGTACCTGAGCCTACTATTCGTCCCACGGAGACAGGGCCCTCCACCACCGGCTCTGAAACACAAGACCATCAGTTAGGCCCGGTGGTTCTGTGCTTGATACAATATTCTGGAAACTTTAAGGTCACGCTGAATGACCCTCAGGCCAAACCCTCAATGCCCAACCTATTCCAAACAGTATGAACTAGAAAGCTGCATTAGTTCCAGGAATTACATGAGGTTGAAGAAAGTTTAGGATGCCCATCACCATAATTTCCAGTTGATACCATTGGCTGCCTGTGCAGTAAAATTTTGATAAAAAATTAAAAAAAACACTCCAGAGAGATTGGGTGTTAGTGCCCACTGGGAAGCCCGTTGATTATTTCACCAGTCCCCAATAATTGCCACAACGGAAGGAGCGGTGGAGAGTTTCTACCTTTGGTCACAGTGGATTTGACAGAAACACTAGTGACTTTACTGACTTTTACTGTGGGCTCCACATCTTTATCTGTGAAACAAGAGAGTTATGAATTAGCAGACCTGCTAAAATATTTGAAAGTCAAACAGCTGATAATGAGGGTTAACTTTTTCAACATGTGCAAACCAGAAACACACATCACCATACAGTGCTTTCAGAAAGTTTTAAGTTTGCATGCCACAGAACTTTTTCCCAAAATGGGCAAAACAGATTTAAGACCAACTTTGAAAATCATGAGAGTAAGTCTTTAACATAACACTATGTCTCCACTGCACCAAAGCAACATGTCATCTTACAATATTCACTAATATGGACCAATCATCTGTAAGTTTGATGCTAGACTTTAGCAACATTAAAACTTTAGCCTATTGAAACTTATTTTTTGCCTAGGTTATTTTATATTATCATATTTTACACAATGTATGTATTGCTGCTACTGCATATAGAGCTCAAAGCAAAGATGATTTAAATTAGAAGGCCAGACAGCAGAAGAAGAAAAAAAAAAATCACAAGATAATGAATTAAATAATTAATATATTATTTAAGGCAAAAATAACTTTGAGGCAAAAACCTCAATATTTGTAACAATATTTTTTCAGACAAACAAGAAAAAGTGTAGCTCTTAGGGTTGGGTATCGTTTGGGTTTTTTTCGATACCAGTGCCAAATCGATACTTTTAAAACGGTTCCGGTGCCTAAACGGTGCCTGAACCGATACTTATAAAAAAAATATATATATATTTTTTTTTTTAAATTCCCCAAAAAATGATGGATTGGCCATTAGCACTATAAACACATGATGTCTGTTTCATTCATACTGGACACCAGAGGGCGCCCTCGCACAGAAAATCCACATATCCAGTGACAGAAGTAGCGAAACTCATGACCCTCCAGGAAATCCCTTATATGGACAAAGGCATTGCTATTATAGCTGTAACTGAGACAATAAACCATCGACTGCGACAATATAGTTCATCTGTGTTATTCAAGCCATCTCTGGTATTTTCATAATTAAGTATATTTATAATCCATTGCTAATCGATGTATTCTTTTTAAAGTAGCCTATGGAACATATTTTCTGCCTCATTCTGTGACAAGAAGCCACATCAGATCACAAAAGGAAGTATTTGACTGGTGTTGTGGAGTAAAAAGGTTATAATGTTCTCTTTTGTTGGACAACAGGTTTAGTAATGTGAATACAAGGGAAGTTTAGTTTTAGGCATTTTAGTTTAAGCATGTTTAGCTTAGTTAACGGAAGGCTACCTGCTGCCATCAGAGCAATTACTGCATTCACACGCTCCTCGGATGCTCTCATTCCCAGAGTTGTGCTTTTAAGTCGGAATGTGAAAACAACATGGACACTCTCATTACTACAAAGATTTGTTGGATTTGTATTTTTTAGAGCTTTCCGACTTGTTCACGTGCATTTTCTGAGTCGGGAAATTATTTTTCACGTGCGGTGCCGGTGATGATGTTTCGGAGAACCAGAGGACAAATATTTCAATCGATCGCTCAGGCATGGCACCGAAATGATCTTTTGAAAGATGGGATCTTTCTAGTTTTAATGCAACATGAGGCTTGGGTGTAACAGCTCTTCTATGAACCTGAATCTGGGGAGGTTCTATCATTCCTCCCTTAATAACACATTATACATAAGGAGCATCTGTAAAATAAAACTAATTTTCAGGCATCTGTACAGATTCTCTATGATTCAAACTGAAGTCAAACTATGTGAACTGTAAGACCTTCTGGCAAACACCTTTCTAAACAAGGCCCAACTTATTTATCACTAGTGGAGCTTTTTAAGCAGTGTCATGGCATCTTTTTTTAATACATTTGCTAAATATACAAATGTTATCATACTTCCAAGCATTGTATTTGCGTGTTTAGGTAACTCTACAGCAATCAAACCAGAGCACTGGGTTCTTGCCTATTCCTTGCCATTTATCATCAAAATAGGGTTGCGTTTCCTTCCCTCATAGCCTTTTCAGAGCCATTTATTGTGATTTGTCTTTACAATGTGTCCTAAAGTGCCTTTCATAACAGGGGTTAGGTTCAAAGAAACCCATCCCAGGTTCACAAAATTTTCCAGAACAAACTGGGCGCAGCTGTTGAAATGTGCCGTTTATAATTAATCTAACTTTTTCCACAGAGGTTCAAGATACCGAAGTCAGCGAAGGCAAACATGAATTGAACAAACTGAGAATAGCTTGCCTGCTGAACACTAAATAATCTCAGAGACTGTACATGGGGAGGGGAATAAATGAAGAAACCTGCCAAATTCATTTCCTCAGCTGCGTTTCTGAGACCCAATAAGAAATCATTAATCAATAAAACGTCAAAATAATTGCAGCAACCAAATAGTTATTTGCTTCATCATTGGTCAGACTCTTTTATACAAGAAATGAAAACATGTTCTTCTGTCTTATCAAGTAGAACATCAATCATATTTATACTATTTACACATTTCGGGCCCCTTTGCAGACCAGGAACATGAGGACCGTTCTTACCCCTTTTCCAACAGCATGCTAAAGTACTTTAGTGTTACTGTTGTACATGATAAACATCCTCTTGCTGTGGTGAGTGTGTGTGTGTGTGTGTGAGAGAAGTAAAGCCACCTTTTCACTAGCTCCTACATTACCATTACTCTAGATTGTCTCATTCCGCCCCCTAGTGGCAGTTGCATGGGACATTCAAATTGGTAGTGAAGCTACTCTCCACTTAAATTCATTGGTAAAATTAATAAATAATGAATGTGAATATATCCACAAAAAATAAATAAATAAATAAATAAACACAGTATGTTTTATAGGGCTAATCAATGTAAATATTTATTTAACAATTATGAAATTATTACAGACAATTATTCAAAACAGCCCATTTTACAGAAGTTCAAAGAAAAATGTTTTATTGGAATCTCATGATTTGATTGTAACACATTACATTCAGCCTGGCTGAAAAATATTTCAACGCGGCCAAAACTCAAATAGTGTTTGAAAATTCTGCATATACATATGAGTGTCTCCCTACACTCTCAAACTACTTTATAATATTTTATATTTTTATGCATAATATGAAATACATGTAAATTACATAGAGAAATATAAGATGTTACATTAAAGATGTTGATTCTATCTATTGTTTTTATTTTGATTGTCATTAACATGGCTAATTGGGGTTGTATTTATTTTTCGTCATTAAAATTATGTACACAGCCTTGTACCTTTTTTTCCCCCCTCCAATCAAAGTCTGTAATGTTTTGATTAATCTCATAGCTGGTTGGTTTGGTTCATGGCTTTTAACTCAAAGACTTAAAAAAAAATCCTTATGGGAAAATTACTTGCGGAATGAAGGTTTCTGAAAAAGTGGGCAGGCACTGTTGCAATGTCCAATAATATCTAATGTGCAATAGAACTATTTAACGAACATGCATTGAACTATGGTTAAACTTACAATGATGGTTTTATCATCTTAGTGTTGTTTTTCAAAACGTTATTAATACACCAGTGTTGTTAAAATCGTTTTTAGAAAGAGAAACGGTCATTGAAGCATTAATACATCAAGTCTTTCCAGCGCCCACTGTGAATCTGACCCTGTACTGTGACGCTCTCCCTCCCTCTAGTGGCTGAAAATGGTTGCAGTGAAATTAAAATGTAAATAGCATCTTGTTTTGGGATTCACCTAATAAAAACAACAGCACTGTAATGGAAGAACATTAAAGACCTCACTTTTAACATTAATATCTCTGCAACCTTTCATTAGACAAGTACAAAGTCTGTGTCTCTACAGTATGTCCCTACTCTTGATGTCTATAAAGGTTCATGGAACTTGGCACTACTTATTTCCAAAATAAAAATATGCAAAACAAAACTAAACAAACAAACAAGAATAAGATATGCCTACAGAAAATATAAAAGGTAAAAGCCGCCTTTCCACTGTCTCCAACATTTGGATGCGATTGTCGTATTTCTCCCCCTAGCGGCAGTCGCACAGAACTTTCAAACTGGTCGCGTGACGCAACCGTCAAGCCGCCTTTCCACCGTCTCCAACATTTGGATACGATTGTTGAATTTCTCCTCCTAGTGGCAGTCGCACAGAATTATTTCTGTCATAATTATTCTAAAGCGACATTGTACAGAAATAGTGCTTTCTGAATAACGTTAAAGGGGAAAAATATTGGTAATTCGGACCTCGCGCTCACAGTTTTGAGTAGAATACATCACATCCGGTCAGGCGGTCGCATACGGTCTAGCCGCAGAAGTACAAATATTTTAACGCACCCGAAGCTCAAATCAGATCCGAATTTTCTGCATACGCATATGATCGGAACTCCACGCAGCTCCCGCACTACTCTCCATTGGAAATGAATGATTTCCGGTCTATCGCTTGTCGTTTCTCGGAGATGGTGGAAAGGTGGCTTCACCCTCGGCTTATCATCATGGCAAAATGTAAGCTTTTAATGAATATAATGAATGTATGAATATATCCACACATAAACAAATGACTCCCCAAATAAAAACACAACTTTTATGGGGCTAATCAACATTAGGGGCTAATCCTATTATGCTTTTTCACTTTTTGAATTTTAGTCAGTGTGTAGTGTGTTTGGGCATAAAAAAGATCTACAAAGTTACAAATCTCAAAGTCCACTCCAAAGGGAGGTATTTCGTTTTTAAAAAATCCTTTTTCAAGAACTACAACGAACGGCTCATTTGGACTACAGCGTTGTTTTCCGGGCTTTGTGATATCACAAAGCGGCCCATTAGAATATCATTAAAATAATTCCCAAATAATTCCCGCCTACAGAAATTCGAATGGTTGGGGGGTGGGGAGGGGCGAGGTTGTGGTTAGAACGCTTGGTTGAGTGACATCAGACAAGACGACGACGACGAAGAAGTGCTGCTGCAGAGTTAGTACATCAGAGAAAACGATGAAGAAGAAGAGCTGCTGTAGCGTCAAGTTTTCACCGTGTCGAAGAAACGCTGTTTTTTTTTTCTTCATAAATTGCTGACAGTACAATACTGGACAATG